GGTTTAATGCCATGCAAGAATGGCAATGCTAGAAATCAAAGCCATTATAATGCACGGCACAAGCAGTAAACAGAAGACACTGACAGATGAAGTCTTGAAATTGAATCACTACTTAAGAACATGCTAACTCAAAATAAACTCAGCTTGGGTGTCAGACTTTGTTTGACTGTATGTCCAGTTTGTTTCCTCCCCCAGCTGGGCAGGATCAGAGGTGGGTGTGCAGAGGGCGACAGGGTTGTAGAAATATGGACAGAACCCAGAAAAAAAGACTAAACAGGCCACAACTAAAATGACAGTGACTGACAATTAACCAAACAGAGGAACATTCCTGTTCTGAAAAACATATTCACTTAAGATGATGGAGCAAATCATTTTATTACTTATGTTTGCATTTAAACTGAGCATTTAAATGCTGTTTGTTTCATGGGTTTTATTATAATAATTAGCTAAAATATAATAGCAGAGACTGACATGGAATACATATTTTGCGGGTAGCCATAATAGTGGAATTACCGTACCATTCTTCTGAAATATAATAATAAGCAGGGAGATAAACCTTCCAGCCGCAAATCCTGGTCGGAGGTGCGGAGGGGTGGGAGAGATAGGCAGGATGTCAGGATGTCAGCCCACCATGCGTCACACATACACTCGCACACAATTATTCACTATCGGCGATTTAGAGGTGCTAACTAGCCTATCCACAGCTCTTTGGACAGTGAACAGAAAAATCACTGGCCCATATTGATGTTACATGGAATTAATTGTAGTGCTGAATTACTATATATATACTCTTTATAAATCAGCCATATTTTGTTAAAGCAGAATAATTATGCTGGTAGATCGATAAATATATGGCAAACAGCATTTTTGCTGAACAATTAACATTTTCTCGATTGTACTGACACTCATTAGAAGACAGAACTTTAATGACCTCTTTTCCAGAACTGAAGTTTGGATATTTTAACGAGCTCCTCGTGACTATATAAACAAGAAAGTGAGACAGGACACATTCTAAGTCAGCAATATTACGTACTTATTATTACAAAAAAGTAATAGTCGGTGTGTACTTTCATGATTTCAAGTCTATTGTTTCACAACTGCCAACATACAAAATGTCTTTCCTTTCTTACTTGCGCGGATGAGCCCGCAAAAATCCATCCAGTGGGGGCTATTCTTTAGTTTAACATGAATCCGTATGTAACCACAGAGAAGTGCTGAGCATGTATTTATTTGCACACGGCCCGTAGCATTAAAAAGTTGTGGAAATATAGCATCGATTGTTTAAAATCGCAAGACTAAACAGTTAATGCACAAGGCATGATGAGACCATTATCCTCTTAATTCAAAAGTAAGATACACCACGGTAATCATTAGCTAGCTTTGTTGTTGATTTAGCTGAGCGAAAAGCTATTCAAATTCTTTCAATCACAATGTAATTTAATATTCTGACATAATTTTCGATCATAACTTGGATAAATGTATTGATGGCTGGATTTATGGTCTAAAGCGGGACCGACTCTGGGTGTTCTGAATTTTTTTCACTCGCTCTTTTGCGCCCCTTAATCAAATGACGCCCTAGGCGATCGCCTATGCCGCCTATGGGGCGGGCCGCCTCTGGCCGCAGTGATTATTTGAATAAGAAAATGTGATGATGCTTTACATTTTCCTTACTGTAGATGGCGCCCTTTAACCGTTTTTACACAGCAGTAGAATTGGTCATTGCTGAAAGAGCACTCGAATATGGTAGAATACACAGCGCCGCTACACGTCGGGTTTCAATGTCCCACGTCTGCTCATCATGCGGAGGTTAACTGGTTACCAAATTGTCCGTAGCTGTGCACGTGTGAGTGAATGGTGTGTGAATGTGCCCTGTGATGGGTTGGTGCCCAGGTTGGCTTGTTCCCTACCTTGCGCCCGTAGCCTCCGGGATACACTGCGGACCCCCCGCGTCCCTGAATAGGACAAGCGGTTACAGGAAATGGATGGATGGATGGACGTCTGCTTGTGCGTCGGATAGGCCTACTTCTCATGTATCTTTCACAAAATCACATCCTATTTATTGAAACAGTGATATGCAATTAATGAGTGTGATTAACGACTGCTTGATTTGGAAAAAAACTGGTATATTTTAAAGTTGTCAAGATCCATATGCATTTAGTTGGTAAACCTAAGTGAGCCTTCAGTCTTTCATACAGAGGAGTAAAAACTCTTGACAACCATTCCAGGTGAACTGTTTCCGTAAGATAAGCGGACCTAAATACGCACATAGTCAAAGAAATGCCGTCGATACGCCTTTGCCTTGGGGTATTCCCATGTGTTGTGCTGGAATAAAGAAAACAAGCAGAGGCGCTGCTCTGTTGAGTATTTCCTTACAAACGCTCTGGGTGGGACTTCTGCTCTGTTGGCTCAACCAGCTCATGTCAACGCATCGTGGTCGATCGGGTTTCTCTGAAATCTTATATGCAGACTCGTTAACGGTTTTAAGAAACGGACCTCTTTATGGATCAAGTAAAATAACATCAATACGTCATGCAAATGGCCCTCTCTGCTCGTAGCTACTTTCTTCGACATACACTTCAGAAAACGGATCCAGAACTTGTCCATCGCAACCCACCCGTTGCCCCCAGTCCTGTCCGCTTTTGTGCTTTTTAAAGGCGTTTCTTAAATACGAAGCATCTGGTTGACCAGCGAATGCCTGCCCCACTTTTCTGTAGTAACACATAAGACGTTAGCTCTCTTTTGTTTAACATAGACACTACGCTCCTCCAGAGACACAGTCCAAGGTCCTACGAGAGAAGAAATACTTAAGCAATCTGTGACTGGGTCAGCCTGCATAAACAAAAAGCTGAGAATCGCGAGACTAAATAGCCAGGAACCTACTGTGCACAATGTTTGCAACATTTCGTTTTTTTCTCACGCAGGACATTTAAAACGATCTACACTGTACTCTGGTGAAAACTCAAAGTTTCATATTTGAAATGCATTCTGAAAATTTCCAATTTGACACAGCGACCAAAAATGAAACAGCCAGAGGGAGTGGTGGAAATGAAATGAATCTGCACGTGGTGAAACGTTACGTGACTGTATGGTATGGCAATGATTATAATATCAGATCAAATGGAGTTGGCAATATGGGCACACTGCTGATCCCATGTTAGTAGGGTGTGGCTCCCCCCCCCCCCCCGGGACTGGGTACATGCTGGGCAATTGCTTGTTACGGCGTCATGCAGACTCACAATGTGACCCCAGTCAACCTCCATGAACTGCTGGTAATGCTGTCTAATGTGTCTATGAGGCATCCTCTGTGTCTGGTGACTAGATGCACCAGCTCCTTGCAAATCGAATCGTTTACATGCCCATTGCTGGTCTGCAGGTGTACAGGGTGCGATTTTTTTGTCACTTAAGATCTGAGATGATGAAGATTGTGTTCTGTGTGATGTGTAATTCAGTATAATATTAATTTATATAATAATGAAAACTATATTACACAAACTTAGTGGATAGCTCTGGGGCTTCATACATCCAGGGCTGTGGATCCGTAATCCAACTCTGTGGGTTTGGCAACCTTTATAAACTGATGTATTTAAATTTTTCCAATTGGGTCGCATACGGGAGAGAGTGGGATTCGCATAAGCACACCTTCAGTGCACCCCGGCAACTAAATGTGCACGACAAGTCAGATCTTATTGCCACCCTAAACCAGGTGCTAACTGCATCCAGTGTTTACGTAGACAGCCTCTCTTTGGGTGAAAATCTGCAGTACACTGAGTTCTACTGGGGAAAAAAAAATGCTGAATAACCCATTAAGTAAAAACGTCAAATATCCTAAAAAAGTAGTGCAGTATACACTACACTATGCAATCTATATGGCACTATGCATACACACACACATACCACACACACACAGTTGTGTAATCATATCTTTTTGGGGACCGCTCATTCATTTCTATGGGAAAAATGCTAATGCTAACTATGACAACCTTAACCCCTACCGAGCCCTAACCATAAGTAACCAAATAAAATGCAAGAGTTTTTTCATTTTTAGTTTTTTCATTGCAGTCACGTATTTTTTATAAAACAGAACTCGTCCCCATAAGGGAAAAAAAAACAGGTATTCATCACGTTGTTTGGTCCCCACAGGCTATGGTATACCTAGACCACACACACACACACACACACACACACACACACATACATACATATATATATATATATATATATATATATATATATATAATATACATTTATATATATATGTTTGTATATATAATATGCATTGAATATATTCAGTTGGCCTATAATGCATTGTGATTTTGATGAGTGGAAATTATAGAATATGTCTGCATGCCCATGATGGACTTGCATCTCATCCAAGTTATTGTTCTGTCTTGTGCCCTGTGCTGCCGCAAAGCCCCCCCCCCCCTCCCTGAACTGAATGAGAGTTTGAAAGATGGATGGATGGATATTAGAAATTGAATATGGAACCCTAGAGAAGAAACCATTTTTAATTAAGCACAGCTGATTTGAACATTTGAATAAAAATCTTGGAAGTGATCGATTATATTCCAGCTGTACATATAGGTCCACAAATGCCTGACAAACATGGTAGACCTCCTTGGATTTGACAAGTGAAGTACGTGATTGAATATCCATTAGGCAAAAGTGCTTTCCAATCAGTCTGTTGTGTGATTGTCAGCAGTATTCAATTCCGCTTGTTTTTCATCTGGTTGCTTTTAAACATTTTAACGAAGAATCCTGCTCGTTTTCAGCGTTTTTCATGTGCTACACTTTCATGTGCACTTTACCGCACTCTGAAACTCGGGCACGTGCGACCTTTTCCGCGATTCCCGAATCACGTGACGCAAGCGGGCGGATTATAAATACCCACCAGTAAGGCTTGGTTGCTAAGATACAGCGCCACTCTGCTTAAAAAGAATTAATTATAGTGTATGTTAAACGGAAGGATGAGTCGAGTCACAAAATGAAACACACAGCAAACACTGCATAATATCATTCTTACATTGTATCTATGGAAGAAGATAAAGCAGGAACAATTTACAAAATATACAAGGGGTTATCGATCAACCAGCAGTTGTCATAGATGTCATGATACACGTTTTAAACAAAACAAAGTTGGATTCATCATTTAGGTCCCATAAGTGCTATTGACAAGTTTGTGTGACAGATTCCTAAGTTTAGGTCCCAGAGGTGCCTGTGAAACCCACATCAGCCAAGGTGGACATTGCTGAGCTAATCAGCGAGGTCATCGCTGCAACCAAGCATGGGACACAAGCTGTCCTATAATGTCCTTTCCTTGTCCCATCCTCTCATTCCCAATCAGACTGTCAGCCCCCCCACCCATTGCCCAACTAAAAAAGAACCCTTTAATAATTCCCTTGTTTATGACACAGCAACTGCACCACACAGAACATGGCTGCCACTTGTAATGCAGTTTTTACAAGAACAGAGAGCATCTGTGAGCCCCACATGCAAACAGGGGGAAAAAACACCCTGATTAAACACGTAATTAAAGAGGAGGAATTACAAGGGCAGGGCTATGCTGATCGTCTGCCTCGCTGCCGAAGGAGATTCATAGAAAATAACAATCGCATCACTTTTGACACCTGAGCCCAAAGGCAAAATCACTTGCTGATTATGTGTCTTTTCTGTATCCTATGCAGTTTAGAGAACTACAGTCATTAAATGCAGTACATGTGCAACTTGCTAAAGGTTACCGTCCTATAGTTACCTACTCTACTCTTTTATTCCAATATAGGTCTTTATTAATGAATGGGAAGGGCAATTTCCCACTTTGGGTAACACGTATAGGTTAATTTTTTATTTATATATGTTCCCTTATCTCTGCACATGTGTTTCAGTGTACACCTACTCCCCAGGTGACCAGTTCATTCTCCCCATTTCCCAGCACCAGGCTTATGTGGCTATAAGAAGTGAACAAGCATGCCCCATTTTGGTCTGGAAACAGGCAGGTGGAATTTAAGGAGGTGGGGGTCCAGATTCTAGAAACTTGCCTGTCCAATCAGATCACCCCACAGGGAAACAGAGTTTAAGCGCCTTATATAGGAGGATATGATGGTGCCTGGAAGGAGGTAATTACAGAGTTTTCCCTCCCAGAAAAGGAATGACGAGAGCTGCGTCCATTGCGGAGAACGACGGCCAAATGAATGGTGGAGTGCTTCTTGACGTGCCCCATGGAAATGTAAAAATCAGCCGGTGACAAGGAATGGGGGGGCGGGGCTTGGACCGCTCCTGGCAGACCGTCGGTTCATGGGTCGATGCGGAAGGCCAGCAGCTTATCGGAGTGCATGGCATTGAGGGTGCGCAGGTCCGGAAGGCGAAGCAGGAGCTTGGGGAACAGGGTGCTGTCCTCGGGCCGGCGGCGGGTGATGAGCGAGCGCAGGGCCCGGATCAGGCACTCCTGCAGCTGCTCCACGGCTCCCGTGTTCACGAGCCCCGAGGGATCTGCAGAAACAGGTCCCAGGTCAGGCCTCATGAGAGTCTACGCTGGTAATCATGCTGCTAGTGCACATTACACAGTTTGCTGGGAGTTTTGGTTCAGTTCACTTTTTACATTATAACACTCCCTACTCAACACCATGACCCAAAAGTAAAGCACACATTTACCAGCATCAGTAAAGGTGACATATCTCATGGTTACCGGCTGTCATGAATTGAGTGAACCCTCCTGTCTGTACTTCAACTTTAAGTGTAGTACTTTGCTCTTATAATGTTTTGTGATGCCCTCATGAGTGGTGTGAACTCAAGCAAAAACAGGACTTTTTTAGGTTCAATAATCCAAACATGGGCAATGTATAGAAGACTGTCACACTTAAAGATGAAGGACAGACAAGAGGGTTCACTTAAATTATGACAGCTAGTATGACTGGCCATGTGACCTCGTTCTATGAGATTTAGTTGATATTATTTTATGTTTAGAATCTGCACAGATCGCCACAAGTCACTATGCATTTCTACGGCTGTTAGAAACCATGAGGAACTGTAGGGCGGCGTCCCCCACCTGCGGAAACCAGCACCACGGCCATGAAGAGTGCCATCTCATCGGCCTCCAGTCCAAGTGCTCCCACCTTCTCGCTGAAGTCAAACATGGCGTCCAGCAGGGAGCCCATGCCCATAGCCCTTAGGGCTGTCAGGGGGTATGTCTGCCCATTCAGGAAAGTCACTGTCCGGTCCTTGGGGTTGAACAATGAGCAGAACCTCACCATCAGGACCTGTGGGAAGCCAGAAGACCAAGGGCATGGGTTTAGTTATGTGAGGTGGCTCTCAATTTTTAGACCGGTGGAAGTTCCTCAAGGAAGGAGGACACTGGTACCTGGAAAGTCCCAGCCTTGAGGAGCATGACCTGATCATGCTGACTGAGTCCCTGGAAACCCGGGATGCTCTTGGCAAACTCCACCACCTCACGCACGGCGGGTGTGAAGCACTGGGAGAAGGACTCCCACACCTGTTGGCTGGTGAGCACACCCGAGGAGATGGGGCAGGCGTTGAGGGGGCAGGCCTGCAGGGGAAGAAGCCCGATCAGTGAGAGGGCAGGGGTGTGAAAAGAGAAGACATCTGCTTCCTGTTGGGACGCACTGAAAGGCTACCTCCTGATGTAACTCACCAGAACTTTGGTGCCTCCTCCTGCTCTCCAGGGACATTTACTCTGGGATTGCGACTCGCCATCTGAGTACTCGTTGTAATTGCCTGGGTAGCCTTTGGGTTGGCCGTGATTCTCGGTGGCTGAAGACTGGTAGCCTTGAGAGGCATTGTCGACAAAGGCATACGAGGGGTTAATGTCACGTGGGCCTACAGGACAGTGGGGGATGGTGTGGGCTTGGTACCCAGCAGAGGTGTAAGGGGGGTATCCCTGCGTTTGGTAGGTATGGGACCGGGGTTCGCCGCAACCAGGATCTGGAGACGAGACGTTCTGAAATGATGGCGGACTGTTGTTGTTGTTCATGTTGCCTCTCTTGCCCAGGCCTTCTTGCCTGTTCACGAAGATGTTGCGGTACGCTCGCGATATGGCCCCTATGGCATCCTCCGATTGGCTGCTTCCGGAGCTGGGCGGGGTCTCAGGCGGCGGGGATGAATCGATATCCATGGATGTGGATTCATTCAGGCTGTTCATGTAGCTCTGCATCTCGTCCAGGAGCCTCTGCTTCTCCCGCTTAGGGATTCGGCCAAAGCGCACAGCTGAGGGGAAGACAACATGGAAAACATCAGGGACAGAGCCGATGTCACGGTAAACGACCACAGTGATGCTTCCTCTCCAGTCTTCATTACTACCAATCAAACGGGGCTCAGTCTTAATTTCACTTATCGGTAATTGGAAAGCATCCATATGTAGGCAGCGTTAGCGTCTCCGTAACACCTTCGAAACGCTGCATACCAGGGAGTGTTTTCTCGCTACCCCTCCTTCCCGGGCCCCCCCACCCTGCTCCAAGAATAACTGTCAACTGACAAGCCTATTATTAGCTCCCTGCCATTGTATACTCGGGCACCTCCCGCTCCTTAAAGCTCTCCCTATTTCACCGGGAAAGTGGGTCAGTGGACCGGCACAAAGGTGATGGGATTGGCGCCATAACCGAGTGGCAGTTCAGGGCGGAGGGAGGGAGTGAGGGAATGAGGGGCAGGGGGCGAGAAGGGACACCGAGCGAGTGGGGAGATAAAATGACAAAGGGGGAGGAGAGGAACTGGGGGCCGACACACGGGAAATTCCACTGGAGTGGTGAACTGTGACCCACGGAGATCAGAGTTACAGCTCAAGTATCAGTATGACAAGTGATAACAGCAATTATACAAAAAGGGGATAGAGTCGGGGGACTGGGTACATGGCTGGAGATCTCTAAATCACCTCATTCATCTATGACTGTAGGTAACAAACTTCTCAAGCCTGTGCCTGGTCTATCACAGTCATCATTGAATTTGCATACATAAAGCAGCCCTTTCGTACGCAGCTGTTTTTGTGAACCCATTGGAATCATTGCACGAGTGCGTCAATGGCTCCATAAAATGTGATCTGATCTTCGTGAAGGTCACAGGAAATAGACAGTCTTATTTAACAAACAACAGCATGTTATGTTGCCATATCTTAACTGAAAGTCATTGACAGAAAAAAATAGTGAAAAGAGGCTCACTAGAGTCATGTGCTAGGAAAATTTCAGGTGTGGGTCTGACTTGAGGCTGCCTGCTCTTCATATCTGAAGGTGTCCTAAGCAGAGTTTGAACCCACTAAGACTGAAAAGGGGTACAAATGGATTTCCATTGACTTGGACCTCCAATAGTTCATAATCAGGCAGTTTAGAAATGGGAGAGATTCAGCATGTTGCTAGTCTCCCTAGGAATTGGGTGTCCTACAGAGATCACTGCAAGGGTACGCCTGGGAGAATCGTAAAGCAAGTAACGGCTAAGGGGTGGTGGCCCTCTCTTTTTATAAGTTTTACTTATACAAAAACCAGCCAATCAGATGTCTTGGTCCTGCCTCCTCTACAAGCTGATTGCATCACTTTTCATTCTGACCTCAGAATCTTTTTGTGTAAGTAAAACTCCAACGATCCACCAGCTCATTGTACATGATATGTTTGAAAACAAAATACATGCCAATGCAAAACCTCATCCCATCTGTGATGTGTGGTGGAGAGAGCATGATGGTCTGGAGCTGCTGCCTGTGAGCCTGGCTGACTTACGATCAATGAAAGATCAATGAATCTCAAACCATATCAGGAAATTCGACAACAGAATGTCAAGATATTTTTCTGTAATCCAAAGCTCAACCTCAATGTAGTCATGCAACATTGACGCAAAACACAGACATAAATCCACAAACAGAGGATTCCGTACTGCAGAATGGCCCAGTCAGAGTCTTGACCTCAGCCCAACTGAAGTGGTGAAACAGGCCATTCAAGTAAGAAATCCCAAAAATATGACTGAACTGAAACAGTTTTGCATGGAGGAACTGGCCAAAATAACTGCGAACCACAGTACAGCAGTTACAGGAAGTGTTCGGTTGAGGTTATTGCAAATAAGGGATATCCGTTAGTTAATAAACATGAGCGTTTTCCATCACTGACCTTGAATGTTTAAACCATTTGTTCAATAAAAATATAGCTACATGCTATCCATGTTGTTTGCTAAACGACTGTCTTTTCAAGGCCAAACAGACCAGGGCGGACTCTGGAAATTTAGCAAATATCCCCCCAATGTCTAACTTCTTACTACATGCCTGCATGCATCTGGAAATCCAGATAATTCCAGAGGGTTCACAAAAATTGTATGACCATTTATTAAAAATGCAGTTTTTTTAAATTAAATTCTATTAAACAATGAAAACATTAAATGTACAATTTTATGTTAAAGATTTTAGAATTATTACCAAGCTGCTTGTTTGGGGGTAATTATGTATCCTTGATACATGATACGTGAACTCTTAATAATGTTAATAAATGTTAAATAAAATAAACATTTTGTATAAATCCAATAGATATCGATGCCCAAATTATTTAATGTCTGACACCTCCTGTTTTTCCAGCAAGGTTCAGTTCAGTACCAGAACAACTGTATACTGGGCCCAGGGGCAAAAATGGACCATGCCCGCCCCCCCTTCCAAATTCACACCTAGGGCCTGCCTACGCCAGTTGCAGATGATGAAATTTAAATAGCCGGCAAATGTCATACCCATCATGCACTGCAGTAGATAGCAAATTCCACAAACATGCTTTTCTCGTTAAAATACAGACCCCGACAACATAGCTTGACTACAAGACATTACAAACTATTACCTTTCAAATTGTTTTTTTGTACCAAATATTTGTTTGTGTTGACTCACACCATAATAAGATTGTACACAAAAAAGGTGAAGCTCATGATATGCATGACATTGGCCCTGTAATCCTCAGGAATGTTTCCCATATATGTGAGACATATAAGTGTTGCAGTGTCTTAATTTAATATCACCTTTGCCAGTTACTCCACTGGAGAAAAGACCCCTAAAAAACAAACTGAAAAAAATATCTAGTTTCGGTTGTAGAAAAGCCATTTAAAACGCGTCTTTCAGAATTAAATGGATTTTAATATTATTTAAAACCATTCGGAAATATATCAATGGCAGAACTTCTTTTACTTTACCAAATAAAAAATTTACTGGGGTGACGTCAACTTTGACTATCAGTAGAGAAAACACAGCACTAAGTATAATTATCATTAGGACTGTGTGTCTGTAACATCGCATACAGTGTCAGAATTCATTACCACTCCATCAAACACAGGGACTTGGTTTCTCCAGTTATCACATGACTGCCGTTGCCCCAGTGACCATCAACAGAAAGTCTCTGACAGAGGATTTCAGGTACTGTTTTGGTGATATAAATAACTGTGATTTGAGAGCCCTAATTAAAACCATACAAGCTAAGACAATTGCAGCAAAAGTGAGGGGAAAAAACCAAGGGCTCCATGATTAATGGGATTGCGGAAATTGTGGACATTTTTTTTGTTGTTGTTTTGTTTTTAGGTCATCCAAAAATGGGCACTTGCTCCAGAAAAAAAAAAGATTTATTGCCATCTATCTTGTTCTGCAGTCTCCAGAGAGAGGGGTTCGGTGTGCTAGTGTTAAATAATACCATTAAAAAGATGGATGAAGCCCTGGATTACCATATTTAAGAGATGTTACGAGGAAAAGGGCTTTTCATAGCTGGCTATCTGGTGCATTGCATATTTAAATGTTGCTTGTTCTCGTCATTAATTGCGAAATGCGATAGAAAGGTATGACGTGCTACTCGAAGTAATCAAGTACCCCGTGTTCCAATTTCCAAAAATAAACCACCTTCACTGCAGTTTTCCACAAAACTGATGGCTTCGGAGACTTTGCAGCCCCTCGCCTCATAAATCACTGTCTGCTGGAAAGAAGGGAGTGGACACAGCTGGGGTAGCATGGTGGGGGGGGGGGCAACACTGGCACTGGATACAAGAGAAGGCAAGACAATAAAGGCAGATGTAGTGCAGAGCCAGGATGTGGATCTGCTATGGAAAATTTAAAACAGAGGGACGGATTTATCCGGATCGGAAACTTCCTGTTTAAAATGAAGATGCTGCTAGAAGCTTCTGGAATTTGCCATGGCACCATAATCACAGGCAATAGGGTGATGCCTCAGTCACAAACAGGACACCAAAGTCCAAATACATCCCCTCCAGTGTCTATTAAAATGTCAAGATAAGCCATCATACACACTCAAGCACAGTATAACTGAAAAACTACATGTAGGGCAGTTACATAAGAACAGCAGGTAGCAGAAAGAGACCTGGGGACTTAGTGGTTAGAGACACGGGTTTGTAATCTGACGACTTTTTGTTCAACATGTGGAAGGTGTCCTTCTGTTGTACCGTTGAACGAGGTGAATTGTTCATGGTGTGACAATTTAAATTATCCAGATTATGACTATGGGCGGGATCTCTGGACCTATGGGAAGTGCTCTTTGGTGATGGGGGCGGGGCTCACCATCTCGGGACATGCCCACAGACAGGCACTTCTTAAAGCGGCAGTGCTGGCAGCGGTTCCGGTTCATCCTCATGATGAGGCAGTTCTCGTTCTTCACACACATCTTGTAGTGGATGTTCTGCTGAATGCTGCGGCGGAAGAAGCCCTGTGAGGTGAGAGGGAGAGAGAGAGAGAGAGAGGAGGAATGAGACAGAGGGAGAGAGGAAGAGAGGGAGAGGAACAGAGAAATAGGGGGAGAGACAGAGAGGGCGAGAAAAGGAAAGAGACGGCAAGATGGAGAGGAGGCGAGTGAGGGAGCAAGAGAGATTTGGAAGAAGATGAAGGAGAGTCAGGAATACAGATAGAGGGAGAGAAAGAGTAGGAAAAGAGGGGGAAAGAAAAAGAGAAGAAGGGAATGAGAGAAACAGAGAAAGAAGGAGAGGAGGAAAGAGGAGGAGGGAAGAATAGAGAAATAGAGAGAGAAAGAATGAGAGTGAAAGAGACAGGAAGACATGAAGAGAGAGGGAGAGAGAATGAGAGAGATTATGGGTGAGAGTGAGGAAGGTGGGTTGCTATAGAAGGGCAGAGAGCCAGCAGAGGGCTCCGCGTGATGCCTGTAAGCCCCCCCTCCCCCGGGCGCTCCATCTGCTCTACCTTGCAGCCCTCGCAGGCATGCACGCCATAGTGGAAGCCAGATGCAATGTCCCCGCACACCTTGCACAAGAGCACCATTCCTCCGGTCTCTGGAAGAGACACAGGTGGGGACGAAATCATTAGCAGGCCGTGCGAGGGGATCCATCCAGGGTGACTTGAAGGTTTGATTAATTTACAATTAATAGTTTCAGAAGAAGTACAGTCCATGTATTTTTCTCCGTCAGTGCCCATAACTGTGATTTATTATTATTACTGTATAATATAACCATATAATCCCCCCCCCCAATCCATGTTTTAACAGAAAACAAGCAAACACAGCAATACCAGCCATACTCACTAGTGAATGTCCCAGTGAACCCACAAGGTCTCTTGCCCACCATAGGGTGGGAGTAGGTTTGCTGGACTTGAGGGGCTGTGGCAGTGGTGGCCATGTCAGGGAACTGGAAGACGAGTTTGGGAGATGGAGGGGTGCCCCCTGCCCCCCTCTGCTTCAGGGCACCGATCTCGGTGAAGGAGATTTCCTCAGGAGATGAAGGCTGGGAGTGGGAGGAGGGAGACTGGGTCTGGTACCCACTGGAGGGGCTGCCCGGGCTGGGGCTGGCACTGCCGGCAGAGCCCGCGTACAGGATCACACCCCCTGTGGAGGCACACACTGGTCACCGGGCCAGCAGACACAGGGCACGCCCTCTAATCACACACACAGCAGAAGTCTCAAAAAAGAGACTCATTCACCAAACACAGCCAAACAGCCAACGGTTTTCCATCCTGATTTTATTTATAACTGCACTGTGCTGTACTCTACAGTACAAATGCTTTTTGTGGATTTTAGGGCCATATTCTATCTGTTATACATTACAGCCGTCTGCAGTACACACTGTATCAGCATTTGCCTGGCTGCACCCAGTCCATAGTACTGACAATGCAGTGGCAGTGAGTCACCTATTTCATTATAGTGTGTAAAAAGTTCAGCTCAAAAAAGGAAGACAATCCTTAGACTGTATTTGAGTAAGGTGAACAATAACCCCCCCCCCCCACCATACAAATGACACAGTAAACAAATTAAAATGACTCCTCAGTATACTGTCTTTAAAAATAACCTTACATCTTTGGCCCCCTGGAGACGCAACAGTTCAGAAATGTATGTTACTATACGAAGAGCACCTTAAGCGTATTAGATCTACATTGAAGACGCAGATCCTGGAAAATTCCGCGCCCACATGCAATTTCAGTATAATGGCGATCGGCTAAATAAGCACCGGCACTGAAACTGAGGTTAAGTGGACAGATCCGACAGTAACGTCGCTCCTCCCCCTTCCTCTCAATCTCTTCTGGTCGTGCATTGCGGATGAGCCGGGACCTCACGTGTCGGAGGAACTGGCTGCCGCCCAGGCTCCACTGGCGGGGCGCCCGGAGCCGAGTAACGCTGCACGACACCTGACCGCAGCCTCACATGGACTCCCGGCACAGTTACCGCCTCCGCAGTCCCGTGTCGACGACAGCCGCAATACAAAAACAGGCAGCTGGGCGATCACGTTGGACGAGCGCCTTTAACGGAAAGCATCGGAGGGAAGGAGGGAGGCGTGGGACCGGGGACGCCGTGCGGTACGCCGCTGGTACGACGGGTTCGGCCGCCGGAATTCGGCTGCAGAAAGGAAACGTGATCCGTCACGTTTGCCGGTCTATGCTAGGATGGGTTTGCCCGCAGTGAGCATCGGTTGTTGGGGCAGGTCGGGAAATGCGGAGCCTGGAAGTGTGAAGTGTGAGCCTGTCTTACTGTTCACCACTCGTCCAAAGAAAAATTATGTTATGCTCATTCTCTGATTTGCAGAATAATATTAGAAGGTACCTCGGTGTTTTACAGTTTCCAGTCATTCCATAAACGTTGTGTGCGTTTAACACAATTTATTTATATTAATTAAGGCGAAATTGCCTATCGCCTAATTTATATCAACAGTACACTGGATTGAATGTAACTTTAAAAATAGTTCATTGATGTAGTCAAACGACATTTTTCACGTGACTCTCCGTGTGAGAGCGGAAGTAAAGTCCTTTTGAGCCTGGTGTAATTGTTAGAGGTTCTCTTTTATAGATTCTTTTTGCTTCCTTTGAAACACGTGACTCTGTTTGGCTGGCGCATTCTGGAAACTCCTCCAGCAGCACGTGTCTCCGCACTTCCGGCTTTTCTTTCGCAGCGTGTGACAGGGCTGTACCTGTCAGAACTGTGCCCCTCGCAGACTCGATCCCTCGTGCCCTCTTTCTACACGCGAGCACTCCACCCACGGACACATTTTCCCTCCTCTGCAGGGCCTGTGTGGACTAACGGTGCAGTGGGAGTGACCTCCCTTTAGTGGGTCTGTTTCCAGGAAAAACAACGCACCACTCTGCCAGACTCGTGTTCCCGAAGTCCCTGCCTACTGAGCAGCTCCAGAACTCAGCAAATAACCCAATAATGTTTTCATACAGGTCAGACTCAGCATGGAAAGACCAGCATTTGTATTACTGCCTTTGCCATAAAGCAGCCAGTCAAAACTGTGTTATTATTTTGCAGGGTTTATAAGGCATAAATTTAGAAGCAATTTATTTAGCACTGACCTCATAAAGACAGTGTCCATGCATCCTTTTACTAAGCAAAAATGACCAGAACACGTGCCAAGGTATTGTTTTGGGATAGGGAGGTGGGAGCTTAAGCATAATTCATCTGTAAGCTGCTACTCTGTTCACAGTTATCAAAGGGGCATGTCTGATGCTGTGCCACACATGAGACTGAAGACCCCCCCCCCGGGACTAAGGTCAGCTGATAGGAAAATCTCATGCAAGTTTACCTGGGCGAGTCCTATACCAGCAGCAAGGGCATGCTGTGAAACATGAGAGCCCTGTTACCCCCCCCCCTCCTGTTTCCACGACATCCCCCCTAATCCCCGCTCTCTGTGTCCTGGGACAGTTCTGTGTTCATATTGCTGTGGGACACACGCGGGGTGTCCGCTTGCCCCCAGTGCTCACATTGCATGTCAGTTTGTGTGGGAAACAACACTGGACTAAATATAAAAAGCTGGGGGGGGGGGCTGGGGGGTGGTTAGCATAAAAAAAAACAGTGACAGAAAATCTAACCTGTGAGGGACACAGAGTAGAACCCAAAGTTTGTGTGCTCCGAAAGCCTTAAAGACTGTGCTGTTCCGTAGGATTTTCTCTGCAGAATTATAAAGACGGAAACTAGGCCAATGTCACAATAACCTGGAAATCCTAATAATCTGACACACAAAACTCTTGTATTATGAAGAGTCCCCTTAGCAATGAAGGGCTAATGAACACTCCAGTCCTAGAGTTTGTTGATGCTTGCTGAACAGCTTGGATCTCTGTACCCCCTAACCCCCACCCCCAACTTCCCCAATAACCCCAAGAGTTTTACTTTTAAGGGATGTTTTAAAATTACAATTCCGTTTTCCTCTGCCAATAATAATTACACTATATTTGTATAAACCACACCCAAATTTCAAACGTTAACAGAGAAAATAAAACACGCATACATCAGTATAAACGTCTTTATATATATCATCTGTAAATAGGGCGCTGAACTTTTGAACATGAATGAAAATGACAGCTCATGTTTAGCGGGTCGTGCTGTATAACAATGTCCCCCACCAGCGTCCCCTCCGCTACTTCCCACTCAGAATCCCCGCAGCTCAACACCCGAAACGTCCCTTTCGATACGAAGGTTTGCAGCAGCTTGTGCAAAACCCCCAGCCGCAATCGCAGCAATCACGTTGTTTTAATTTACATGTAACGTGCACGCCGATTCTTTCTGGTTTATGTTTAATTGTATTTAATCCTCTTTGCCTCGTCATCACGAAACCAGGAAACGTGATGGAAGTACTTCAGCTCATTTGATGTGCAAAAACTGCTGACCCACTGACCAAAACCTTCATCGCCGCAGGTGGGGATCAAAACAAGAGTCTCCGGGTGGGTAAAAAGAGGAGGGTGGGGGCGGGAATCACGCGCCGCACGCGGCCGAGGGAGCCCGTCCACGTGATGGCAGCGTGGGGAGCCGAACCTGCAGTTGTAGAGCTGCGCAATTCCCCTCCCTCAGCGCTCAAACTTAGTTAGGCATGGAAACCTCCTGCTGCACGGTCGATCGACAAAGATATAACGAGAGACTGCGGTCACCGTGGGAGTAATCTGAAATTCCTGCATTGTCTGTGAAATGCGGCCGTCACGTTTTTGCCTACTGCCTCCATGCACCGGCTCCGAAAGAAGCGGTGCCTGTAAACGCTGCACATGCTCCGTTTTATGATCAGTACATCACACTGTTCGGCTTATTTTCTAATGCGTTTATTTACATACATATACCTCTAAACGTTTAGTGCATGCTGTACTAAACCAATTATAATTAAACGTAAACTTTTGACGTATTAAAATCATGGGTTGGATCCGGTTGTAGTCATAGATTATACATTAGTGTGCAATCTTAATATATATTTATTGTAGCAGGACTCGTTTTTATTATCAGAAAATAAACCGAATGGTATTTACTGTAAGAACCGAATGCGCAAAATGTTGGCTACTTTAATAGTTAAGGTAGGTAACTTCATTATTACTGCTTTGGGTAACATCACTTTCAGTGTCGCATTTGCTGACATTTACAGCCCATAGATCTAAGTCGATTTTGACAGGTTTTGCTTTGCATCCACAGCGTGAGAGCTGGTCCAAACTGCGAAAGGAGTGGCCTCCGCAGGAGGCACCTTTGCAGTCACCAGCACCGAAACGTGACTGCAGCTTTGCAAATGAATCACCGGCGCGTCGCCGGAAGTGAAGGTCACAAACATGCACTTGATGTCGTTTAGTTATTTAAGGTAGCATCGCGGCGGATTGCGGTCGTCTTCTTCCAAAAGCAGCGACAAATTAACGGATGATGTTTTATTTTTGGTCATACCGGAGCTATGTACCGAGAGAAAATATTTTCCAAGTAAGATCAATAACAAACAAAGTAATAACAATGATAATAAAGGAAAAGAACATCTTATCAGAAGTCCGCGACACGTGAGTTTGTTGACATGCCGAGAGGCAGGAAGTTACAGTGGGAGGCGTAGCTGAGTTAAAAGTGCCACTACACGTGAATTTAAAGTACCGTCCTGCCCCCCAGTTCACTTCACACAAAACAGCATAAACAACCCAAGCCTCATCCGGGGGGATTTCAGTACAAGATATATAATATAATGTATAACCAGTAACTCAACTGCAGAAGTTGCATAAAGTTTGAAGCTACCTTTGCATTGTATATTGTGCTTCGACTCCAAGTGACTAAAATGAAAAGTGCAGTACTTTTAATTACTGATCGCCGTTAATACTCTGACATTTTAAAACGTTCATATTTCTAAGCTTCGTACGTTCACTTCTTAGACATGGGATATCGTGTCTTATTAATCAATATTTGCAAGATGATATTAAAACATGCGACCATATGGCAATCTGTATTCATTTATCCAAAGACGAAGGTTCTGCCTTTCTATCGCTTATGCGCTTACGACACCACTTATATTAAACCCGAAAAGTCGCTATGCAGTTACGTTAGTTTTGCACGCTGTCACATGATATGTTAACAATGTGTATAATACATAAACCAGCAACAACAACAATAATATAACAGCTACTAATAGCAACAACAACAATTATTATTATTATTATTATTATTATTATTAATGTCAGTTGTCGGACTGCTTACCTGGACTGCTGTCCATCCTTGTGTCCGCTTAGTGTTTCAGCGTATTTAGTCAAAGTGACACTGTGCTTTCTCTGTGTCAACAAGAAGTCGCGTCGATATAGGTGAAAGAGTCATGAAATGGCTGTTTATAAAACGTTCCTCGAGAAGCTGAAAGAAAACGACCCGATCGCAGTGCATGAGAGGGTTTGCCTCATGCCATCCGAAAAAAAACGTAATGTCCGTATCGTATTAATGGAAATAATGAGCGTGTTTTCAAGGTGCGTTGACAGCGCTGTGTTGCCGTGTCACCGGTCCGCTCTCTACTGATGGGTCGCTTAGCTCCGCTGCAGTGTCCTGTGCAAGAAAGTGATAGACCACAACTACCGAGCGTCTGTTTTGAAGAAATCCTCCGACTTCATTAAGGCAGAACTGACAAGCGAAACACACACCCCCCGTCACCACGCTACACCCACAGCAGCCACGTTTTTAGGTGCTTGCCAAATGTGACTTGCGCCTTTGTCCCTATTACTTTCCTTGTTTTTGTTATTGCATGGAGAGAGGCTGGTCCTCTCGCGCCCTTGTTCAGCCACTAACTTCACGCAGCAGGCACTCCCCCCTCTTTTCTTCTGTCCTTCTTTCATTTTCCCTCACGTTTCCATTGGAGGAGGCGCGGCGTGGAGGGGCGGGGGAGTCAGCTGATCCCATTCGGACCCTCGGCGCGCCTGATCGCGGGCGCGCCGCATGTGCGCCCTGCATGTGAGCCGCGCGGAGCGCTGCCCTACTGACACACATTTTATGCAAATGCGCGGAGCGTGAGGCAGAGAGGGAGGAAGAAGAGAACTGAAGCACATGGAAAGTGGGCGGAGCTCACCGTGACTGCCGTGCTGCTTCGGGGCATAGAGGCTCACGACAAACTGCAGTTACACAAGACTCGGACGGTCGAATTCAGTGCGGCCGATCAGAGCTCAGAATGCAGGTCTGAGGCCGACGGGGTGGTGGGAAAGTACAGTCTGGATCGGCGCACTGCGCGTTTTATCATTATGCATTTGGAATAAAACAGCGAGGCATCTGAAAGCGTCGCGTTATTTAACCCAGTGAAGAATAATATCACTCATATCAACTAGACTTCCTTGCAATAGGAACTTGAGCCTGATTTATCTGTGACTAAAATACTCCCCCCTGTGGTGAAATAGGTTATTTCTGCCTTTAATCATTAAATTATTAAATCGATTGTTAAACTGTATGAAGACTCATTAGACTGATAATTACTATATAATTCGCAAAACGACTGCAATAACAATTGTTTTTTAATTTATTTTGTTTTATACGATTAGTTGGTAATAGCGCCATAGTAGGGAGGTCTCTAAGTTTACAATGACAATAATGTAAATGAATAATTAATTATTAATAATTATTATTAATTATGATTGATAATTAATTAGAATTAGAATTAGAATTTTAGAATTAGAAGCTTTATTTGTCATTGCATAAAATACGTAGTATTAAACACAACGAAATTTAGAGTTGCCACTCTTAGTCAGTGTTTTAAAACTAATATAGTTAAGAATTAACAAATCCGCCCCAAGGCAGCCTACCCACACTCACTCATACACTCCCCCCAAACCTATTCACTCCTCTCACCCAAAACATTAGTCCCCACCTTCCAACCAAAACAAGACACTCCCCTGCACAAAGGTACTAAAGGTAATATGGTTTGAGCAGCAATTTGTGATAACGACTTGTATTAGAGTAGAGCCAGCCATGCAACGCCCATGACATCCTGCACCACTGGGTGTCCTCATAGTTAAGGAGATGTCACTAGTGATTATATCATACACTCAGAAATACTGTCACATTTGAGGAGGTGGGAACAACAAAATAAGAGATGGAAAATACATTAGATTTGAGGGGGATCATCAACATTTATTCATCCTGTCCTCTGTGGGGTTTTGAAGTTTTTTTTCCTTCACTGTTATATAAGAGAAACATTTTGAAGGGAAATAAACAATATAAAAGTTCAAAGAACAGTCTAAGGAGCATCCACCCCGGATTACAAACAGAAAATGAGGATCAGCAGCAAAACTGAATCTGTGAGTCATAGCTCCGAGTCTGTCATCCAACATTCTAAGCCTGGATCCATCTTACATGCCTCAGATACAAGGGATAACAACCTTTAATCATTTCACTCTGTTTCTGCCTAAAATGCATAACCTGGACAGAGTACATTGAAGCGAACTGGCTCTATTTCGAAGTTAAATTACAGACGTTAAGTCAAAAAGAGTATGTGACTCGAAAGTAAGTGTCTCAGTGAGAACTTTGTGTTAGCAATATCTCTGGCTATCTACTGCCAGACAGAACAAAAGACTCTGAACATTCAAGGAAAGTCAGTATTAATGAGGACAGTGAAACGGAGAAGGATACATTTTAAGATATTCTGCCTCCCTTTATCACTTGTAGAGCAAACTGAAAACAAGGTTACCATATTGTTTATTTATTACTTTTGGCTCCATGAATCTGATCTTGTCCAAAAATACCCCTGAGTTTCCTGGCCAGTAGCACCTCAGAATCACCTTGTCAGGTTTCTCTCCTGTGTTTTTTTTTCCAGCGTGACACTGGATAGTACCTGGGAAAAGTTACCCAGACATGTGAACTGCACACAGACGGAGCCAAGACTGGATTTGAGGGTATAACTCCGGATCTGTGAAGGGGCAGATGTTACCCAACATATCACCCCCCCACAGATGCACAGTTTAGCAATAGTAATGGAACAAGCTTCATTTTAAAGCTACATTTTCTTATAGATGTAAACTCATGTCTTTTCACAAAACCAGTAGTAATTATTAGGTTACTCATAAATCACTATCCTGACCTGTTTTTCAGGCATAAAATGTGTCCACTTGCCTAAATTTATTGTGTCATACCGTTTTGAGTGCAGCTCTCTCCCTTGGCTGTCTGGAGGCGATTGGCGCCATCTACTTTGCTGTGTGAAACAAACAGTCTTGTGTTTGGTGGCAGTTGTCTGAGAAGGCTTTCTGGGAGCTCCACAGTTTGCCGTTAATTCCTGACCCCGGCATTGTCTGTCTCTCTGTGTGGGACACCTGCCCCTTATCTTAAAGCAGAGTCCTATTGTGACATCCTGGAAAGCCGGTGACGATCTTCACAAGGTATTATTGTTTGACCATTAAATTGACCAGTACACACCACAGAAGTATGGGTTTCATTAAAAAACGAAGACATAAAGTAGTAAAGATTTTTAGTAAGGATGTGTTAATTTTCACACAAGAAAATCTTTATCTGAATTTTGCAATGTTTGTTCGCTGACATCTAAATCATTTGACCGTATTCTGCTGACAAAGAATAATGCATTAACTAGTACAAATATTATTTAATTGAAAGGCTAAGATGATCCATCCATCTTCCAAACATTTAAATCAGGACAAGGTCACAGTGAACCAGAAGCCAATCCTAGAAAACACAGAGCACAAGGCAGGGGGCACAGTGGACAGGACCCATGGTCACAAATAGTAAAGGAAACTGAAGAAAATGCACTAATATATTGCAGAAATATCTTTCATACATAAGTCTGAAACTCTGGCTGTTGAACTGCAGCTGTGGTTCTTTTTTCTACAATTAAGTAAGAAACTGTAAAGGTGCTGGCTTTAGGGAGTCCAATGATGGGTCTAACAATGTGGTCAATAACCCCCAAACAGCTCTCTGCAGAATGGCATAATGGGGATGAAAGCCACTTTAATCTCCAAGGAGGAGTCTGCACAGGACAGAGGTAAAATGGCAAGTGCCCATGAGCAGGAAGTAGAAGGTTTCAGAAGGTTCTCTTCTGTTTTGTAAATGACAAGCAGCTGCCACACAGAGTCACGTTTCTTGTATGTTCAGCAAATTCAAGGTTTTTACTTATTTCCTTTTTTAGTTCAAACCAGTATAAACTGCAATACTTTCATAAGGGGCGGTTGTTTCCCCTCTAAATTGAATCTCTACAACATCTCCGGTCTTGCCCTTGCTTTCTTTTTTGCCTCGGGAATTTTTTTTATCTTTCATTAAAAATGTACACTCTTACCCCCTGTTTATAAACTGAGAAGTAATTTGATACAACAGAAAAGCTCGCTTTTGTTAAAGGAGCAGAAATTATCCGCGGAGTCAGGCAGTCTAACTAAACGGTTAACTGAAGCGTGCCTTTAAATGGAACGTGACATTACAATGCTGTGGATACCGTCCTCTAGGTGGTGCTGCAGTTCCGCACTCTGCTGCTACGGGAAACTGTTGGCAAACAGGAAGGGAAACGGCCCCTGGAAAATAACTACAGTAGAGAGGGGGGTCTCTATATGGTTTTCTGAATATGGAACCAAGCTGGTGTTGAACTCGAAGAACGCGGAGCTTTCTGGTACCCGTCATTCTCTTTTAATATTATGTTTGCAAGATTTATTTCTTTTCTGCTCAATTTAAAATGTGCCAGCTGCCAATTAGATAGATAGACAGATAGCGTGTTTGCGTTTTCCCCAGACTCTGTGCACCTTCATCCTGCCTGCGTGTTGTGACAGAGCATGTTGGTAATTACAGTCATGTTTTGCAATTCGCATGAGACCGTTGCCAAGGCGCGTGCACGTGCACGCACACACACACACACACACACCTGTGAAAAAGCTCGTGCCCTAAACTTCAGATTCTGCCTTCATAGTCTCAGTCAGTGCACTTCCACGTTCAGCACACACCCACACTACAGATTTTTTCTGACTTTGTGCCCGCTGACATCCATCCGTTTAATAAGAGCAGTCAGTCACACACTAACAGGCAGCAGGGCGGCTCCGGCGAGGCGGTGGCCACTCCAAACCTCTATAAACCTTTTAATTTGTTTGTCTTTCTGTGCTGTCGTAAAAGATGCAGGGAATTAAACGGGGGGCCTTATGGGAACTTGAAAGCGGCGTGGCGCGATTTTTAACGACGTGGCGGTCAGAGTAGAACCGGGGGCCTCGAGAGCCGGAGAAAGCAGCCCCAGTGAGCCGCGTATTTAACGCCGGCCGTGTGTTTATTTACCGTTGCTGTACGCTGAGTCTGGGCTGGCTGAAATAACGTTGCAGCGTGAGGGTTTAGCGTCCCC